AGATAGCCCTCGTGTAGCTTTGCGCGAACTCCATAACAAACAATCTATTAAGTACGATAAATTAATCAATTCATGCATTAAGTACGACAAAATTATCTCACTGTGTTATAAACAAATATAATGTCAGACGCTTTAGCAACGCTTTTAGAATTTAATTATGTTCCTCGATTCATTTTATCTTTAGCCCCAGAACATTCTATTAACTGGTTCTTTCCCACAATGTGACATCAAACTATGCGACTTTGGCATATCCCGATTAGTGTCGGCAGACATCGAAATCCGAGATATCGTAGGAACACCAGATTATGCAGGTAAGTACCTGCGTTATATTTTATGAAACGCTACAGTTTTACTTCTGAACTTCTTCAACGTAAGTGATGCCAAAATATAATGCCAACGTTCTGAATCGATGTTCCTTAATGACGTTCAAAATCAAAATTGTTACTCAATGGTTGTATTCGAAGGTGGTCTTCTTTAGTTATATTCATAATCGCTATTCCACAATGACGTTCAAAATCAAAACTGTTACTCAATGTTTGTATTCGAAGGTGTTCTTCTTTAGTTATATTCATGATCGCTATTCCACAATGACGTTCAAAATCAAAACTGTTACTCAATGTTTGTATTCATAGGTGTTCTTCTTAAGTGATATTCGAGGTCGATATTACACGATGACGTTCAAAATCAAAATTGTTACTCAATGTTTGTATTCGAAGGTGTTCTTCTTTAGTTATATTCATAATCGCTATTCCACAATGACGTTCAAAATCAAAACTGTTACTCAATGTTTGTATTCGAAGGTGTTCTTCTTAAGTGATATTCGTGGTCAATATTCAACAATGACATTCAAAAAAATAAAACTGGTTATTACAAGTTGAAATTCGTTATCGCTACTTCATCATGTTTGAAACCTTTTGTCCATCGTGATATCAAAGCCATAACTCTCGGAGCGAGAGTTTTAGTGTGCTGTCTGGAATAGCCTTGTGGTTAGGATGCTTGACTCACAATCTGTAGGTTGCGAGCTCGAATCCCGTCAACGAACACGCTCACCTTTTCGGTCGTGGGGGTGCAAAAATGTGACGGATAATCCCACTTTTCGTTGGTAAAAGAGTAACTCAAGAGTTGGCTGTAATCTATCGCTTCTAAATTAAGGACGGTTAACGCAGATAGCCCTCGAGTAGCTTGGCATGAAATTCCAGAAACAAACAATCAAACTGATACTACATTTTGGCGACGTTTCAAATCGTCACCCTGTGGTGACTGTTTAAAATAAGGCTTGATAAATTTGTTTTATTTTACCTATATAGAGTTAGTCAATGGGGGCTTATCTTCCCTGAAACTGAACAAGATAAGTATTTTATCATTCTTTCTTTCACAATAAACTTACATCTCGGGATTTTCTTAAACGTCGATGATCTATTTGCTTGTTATAATGCTACGTGTTCTCTAGAAACAACTTACAAATAGTATTAACTTCGTTCAGGGACCAGGAGTGAACTAGTGATTAAATTGTACAGGTTTGTGAATCCGAGGGTTCACGGCTTGTGCCCCTTTGCCGCAAAACCTCGCCCAGCACTTTGGGACCGTGGGTGCGTAATATTAGTGACGGTCAGAACCCACATATCGTTTAGAGTAGCCCAAGAGCTTGCGGTAGGTGCTGCTGACTTCCTGCCTTCACATCATGTGTATCAGTTCAAAGTTTGGGAAGGCTAGCACAGACAGCGCTTGTGTACTTTGCGCGTATATCAGAAACGATCTCCATCCTGAAATACTTAAATGTATAAAAAAATCGTTTTCAGTGGTCGACTACTTTGAGTTTTGCGTCCTAGTTGGAAACAGCATACAAAGTCTTATGTTACATTACATCCCAGTCAGTGGTGTAGTCCTGCGAGGTCGCGAAGGATCACCGACCCTTCACTTCATGTGCAGGGGAAGCGCGCTCCACTCCCATACTTCATATGCAAATTACTTCCCGTATCCCTTTCTTACTCACTCGAATATGGATCTATGAGACTAATCATATCACTAATATGGAACGTTTTACATAAGACGAAGTTTTATCATTAGTTGAAAGCTATCTGACCTTGCATATACTGCTGCTTCAAAACAACGTACCTCAGTTAATAATTATCTGAATTTTTAATAATTAGTAAACACGGTAGCTATATTAAATAATCAGTTTGATAATTAACTGTTCTGTGAGCAGGGAGGGTGTAAAGGAGATTGTGGCGACCCCTCACTTCGAAATTTGCACTACATCACTAATCACAATAAGACTGACAACGATACATAAAAAACATTTTAACAGC